TCTGAGGCTGTGCTCCGCCAGTTTTCTTTTGGCAGTAACTGCCAAATACCGGTCCTCATTCGGCGTTGTAACTCTGGGGCGAACCTGTGCTGTAACGTCTACTCTCACATTACCATCATCTTGGAATGTTGCCAAAGCCTGGAGATGATACTCTGGGCAATTCCAAGTTTGTCTGATACTTCCAGTTGGGTACGCCCCACATTCCAGACGGCCGATAATTCTACCACGTAAAAAATCATCCAAATTGCGTTCCTTTGTGTCATAACTATTCGATTGTTGCACTGAAATGCTTATAAAGTGCCTGCGAAAAATTTTACTTCTTTGCCTGTATTCCTTATATATCACTCTCTTACACTCTCGTCATTGTGACGTACCATCGGTGTCATCTGGTTACTTCCTGAAATTTGCATATGATTCTTGAAGATGTGTGTAGTGATTTTACAGGTGATATATTTATTTTAGAGTTCGATTTTCGCGTGACTCCGAATTATACTTAGTTTATGGACAAGAGTGTACTTTGAGATCACGGTGGATATACGAATTTAGAATGAACCATGGCGCGTTGATAATCTCTCCGAGTGCTTTGTTTTGATGAACTTGGATGTGTTGAAGGTGAGTTTTGGCAGGTGGCCCCAGACAGGACTAGCATAGAGTAATGCTTGTCGAAGTATAGATTTATATAAGAGGAGTTTATTAGAAGCAAACATATGACTTCTTCTACCAAGAAGTGGGAATAGTTGCAAGCGTGATATTAATTTTTTTCATAGTTTTTGAAAAGTCAATTTTTTATCAAGAATGACTCCTAGATATTTAACTTCGTCAACCCAGTCAATTTCTTCATCAAACAGAATAGGTCTAGGCGGAGTGAAATTGTCTTAGTCTTTGCGAAAAATTATTGCTTTTGATTTTCGGTATTAACTCCAATCCTCCAAAGAGTGAGCCAATTTTCTAGATGATTGAGGTAATTTTGAAGAAGGAGCTGGACAACAGTAAGAGTAGAAGCTTGGGTCATAATTGCAGTACCATCAGCGAAAACAGCAATGGTATCGGAAATTCTAAAGATATGCTAATTTTAAAGTTAATTTGCAATGTTGCTGTTGAACTGAATTTTATAGTTTGAGTACGTAGAATATGATATTTAATTAAATAAAGGTAACACACAAAACGTTAAAAAAACGCCCCTTTGGACGTAATTTAAAATCTGAAAACTTTCAAAAACACTTCAGTTTTTTTTGGGTGTGTGTGTGTTCGTTTTAGAATTGTGAAGTGATTTTTTTTCATAAAATAAATTTTGTCAATGTATTATTGGACCTAGGTGCATTCAATCTCTTACGAACCCGTAAGCACGCAACAATAAATAAATTCTAAACCATAAGTTATCACCAGCATTAAACTAAACACGTCGATAATTGAATTAAACCATCCATTAAGTGTTATAATTAAACAAATTTTACATTAGAAGTTACAAACTGTATATAATTGTAAACTATATCATTTTCCTAATTTTGGTGGGGGGGGGAATGAAGAGTTTGGACACATTTGATTTTTTTTATGGCGTTTCACTGTAAACGCCATTTCACTTTTCAAATTATTGCCAGTAAATATTACAGCCTTGCATTATATTTAAAGAAATTAAATATATGCATGGATGTATGTATGTTTCTCGCATTGTGAAAAAACAACGGTACCCAGAAATATCAAATTTTGAATAAGTAGTCTTCCACTCGAATATGGGCATTCGGATGCCGAAATTTAAACGCGGAGTTTGTTTTATTACCACTTCATATTTTGTAGAACTCTAACGAATTTTTAATTATCAAACTCGACGATTTTAAAACGAGCAATGGCAACACTGTACAGGGGAAAAAAAAAAAAAAAATCTCCAGCGCGGCGAGCTTGTTTCAGTAAAAATTATAATAATTATTTATTTATAACCCAATGTTATTAAATTATTAATCATGTTTTCGATTAACTATTAATTATACTTAAACTTACATGCATATAAAATTAATTAAACCTTCGAATTAAAAGAACATTAACAAAAGTTTTACCATGTAAAAAATTAAACACATTAAGAAATATCATTTCTATAACGCTCGTTATTAAATGTTAAACTAATTCCTAATTTAGGCATTTTTTTTTTTTAAATCACAGCAAAAAAAGCAATTATCAAATTACTTCGAAAAATTTAATAAAATAACTATGAGAGAATATTTTTATCTTCTTCATTATTTATTATTAGTCTCGCCGTTAGAATGCCAACTACATAATAATTAGTAGCTTATTTTAAACCCAATATGATGAATATACAGATATAACGGTTTTGAAATTATGTCTTTTAAGTAACTGAACGTTTTACATACTTGTAACTCTTCCTTTAGTATTCAAATTTCTCTGCGTTAACAAAACAATACATTAATCTACAATTTCTATTAAATTATAATATATGAGCTTTTGTAATAAAACTGTTATTGCTACCTTGACACGAGCCCTCGTGGCCTAATGGATAAGGCATCGGTCTCCTAAACCGGGGATTGCGGGTTCGAGTCCCGCCGAGGGTACGGTTTGATACTTTTGGTGACTGACAATTAAATATTTTTTTAACGCAATACGCGATTGCCGTTAGCTCTAAAGAATAATCTACATTTTTCAGTTTTTGGTTTCACTGCCATAAGACAGTGCGTAACAGTTAAACCCGCTTCAGAAAAATTACATAGAAATAGTAAGTGTGCCATAACGTATTTTATTTGTAATACGTAGCTTATATCAATGGCAACGATATTGCTTTATAAAAAAGGAAAGAACTCAAATGAAATAAACCTTACTTTTATTGTTGACCAACAGATGACACAAATGCTAGGATTTTCGACTAGTGTCCGGTTAACATCCTTCCTCACGAGATCAAACATTTTCTGTTCATTATGGAAATGCTCAGATTTTGTTACTACAGTCAGAAAGAGGAAAGCTAAGCACTTTTTTTTATTATTATTATCACGAGGCAGATACAAAAAGTATGATTATTTTTCGATCAAAATCCATATTTTTCAGACCCCCCCCTTTTTTTTAAACACAAGCAAGGTTATTTTTCGATCAATAGCCATATTTTCGGAACTTTTTTTCCCTTCATACAAGCAAATTATTTTCAATAAAAAACCACATTTCTCGGAATTTTTTTTCAATGACAGTTTTTTTTTTAAATAATCAAATACAACAATTAATGGAAAACATTTAAACTCGTATTACAATTTTTACTTATCAATGAAAACGGCAAAAGCATTAGCACCAGTTAGGAAACACGTCAGTAAAATTAATTACTTTTAAATGTTAGTATGGCATATTATGCTACTAATCAATTATAAACTTGATTCAAAATAACTCTGAAATCCTTAACAAGCGTCTACACTCTTCTAATATTTTATTGCTAAAAAGAAGAAGAAGGGGGGGGGGACTATAAATTAATATTCCATTGATTTAAGTCTCTAACTTTTATTAGAATTTCTACCTATAGATGGCGACACTATACGTTATGCGTTAAGGAAGTTAATCGGAATTACAAAGGACATATTTTCGGCCCCTTGCCTACGCTCAGTCAGAAATTCTGAAATAATTTTATAGTTCACTTATGCTTCCTTGGAATTTATTTCAAATATATAACTTGTTTGGTACATAGGGGCTGACTTTTGGAATGAAAAACTGCAAATTTCGGAGGAGAATATCATGATTGCAGAGGCAATTGAACTGAAATAAGGGATATCTTTATCTCCCTTCCCCAAGCTAATAAAGGATTAAAAAATTATACATTATTAATACCTGAAAAATTAATATTACAATCAAAAGGAATCCAAAAACAGTAGTATTTATATATAAAAGAATATTTGTTACAGGATATATATATACTAGTTATGTATAGGCATGTGCTTTTTACGATAATTCATAATTTCATTTTAGAATAACATTGTAGAAATCAAATTCTAACCTGTTATCATAAAAACGAAGCAATATTAGAATTCCTTGAACATTAATTTTTCAATATATTGTCAGTCTCACTTGATATGGTAGTATTCAAACATTGGTCATATTCAGAAATGCACTTCAGCGATTACAGCAGAGAATAAAAGTAATTAAATTTTTTCTTAAGTACAGAGGAAAAGGCTAAAACATCACAGCCACATGATGCACTGCCCCATCAATACATTTTTGCAGCAGATAATTAGGAATTACTGTAAATTTTAAAAAAGCTCGAGACTCAATAATAATAAATAAGTAAAATTAAAAGTGGGTAATCACCATAATCCATGATATAATGATCACAAGAAAATTCAAAGAAGCAAGGGCTACTTACTAAATTTCTCTACCCCATCAAGCATTATCTAGTATTTCATAATGCTAAAAGTTCTCGTATTAACTTATCAAGAGCATAAACATATTAAAATACCTCTACCATGAGAAGGAAGAATTATAATAAAAATTAATACGACATAAAATCCATGCAATACATTGCTATGAACATGAAAGATAATTAAAAAAAAACTAATGTTTGGACTCTGAAACTGTACCAAAATTCTATTTTAAAATTACAATAAAGCATTATAGAGCGATGTTTCAGTTTGAAAAAAAAAAAAAAAAAAATGTGCTACATATTATTTTAATCTCTTCATGAGTACACTACAATTAAGCAAATAATACTGAAAATAAAATAAAGTACATCAAGAAGTTAATTCATTTCATTATCTATATTTAATTAAAGCAATCAAATATGTTGGCTGACCTAAAAGGGGAGAGCATCTCTAACAGTAAAATAAGATGTATCTAAAACTTCCAAAAATTTTTGACTTAAAATACCATTAAAAATAACAACTTGCATATGTTTACAGTATTTTTCTGAATCTACAAAAATGCTAAATATACCTCTCAAGACTGTTTCTAACGTCACATTTTTATTAGAACATATTTCAAAGAGAAAAAAAACCCACATAATTATGTTTTACTCTCAAAAAAAAAATAAAAAGAAACATATTCATAAAAACATTTATTGAAATGTTACAGTAAAAAATATTTTAACAATAAAATTGGATTACATAACAAAATAAACATTTAAAATGGACGGATTTTTTTTTTCACTTATACACTTCTTTAAATATGTATTAATGTAAAACGCACGTTGCATAAATGCAGTACTTGATGCTCATACAACATATGCTATGCTCCATAGCTTGACATCAAAAATAAGGACTTTGAAAGACCTATAAAATTTAATTGTAGCTAGGATCTTTCAATGTAAGAACACACATTTCTAAGTCTATCACACATCTATAAAAATTGATAAGCTAATAACAAAAAAGAAAAAAAAAGATGAGGAAAAAAGAAAAGCTTTATGGTAGCATAGTTTCAATTCAAGAAAAAGCAGTTAACATCTGCTTAATTAGTAATAACCATAATGCACCTCTACAAAAAGGCTTACAATACTGAGGGGAGGAAAAAAAAAAGAACTATGCTCTCTACACATACATACATACATATGTATCCTCACATTGAAAACTAGGACATATTCTTCCTAATAGCTATGTTCATAAGGTGCTTTGAAAAATATGCTTTTCAAATTGTTTTAAAGATTAAATAATATTTTTAAATTAAAAAAAATAATTAACAATTTAGCAACAATTTTAAATTAAACAGATACAATTAAAAATTATTTCTAAATTGGTTATTTTAAATAACAGTACAGCTACAGTATTTTTTAAAACAGATCATTTAAAATTACTCATTGCCGCTGGCAGAACTTGTATTGTCAACTTATATTCAAAACATGAACATTTTAACACAGATATAATAACTGATAAGATTTTCCTCAAAAGTTAGTGCTATAGCAATAGTTTTTCATCACATGCTACAGGAAAAATACATACTTCTGACATGAGCAACTATATTCAACTCTGGAAACATGTTTCCACAGTTATTGCTAGACATACAAACTCTTGGTCTAGCATGTCACAGGCTGGTAATCAGTCAAAATTTTGATGGGACTATCATATCATTATGAAATGCCAGTACAATTTTCAGTTTGTTGCACACAAAGAGCATATTAAAAAATACAATTATGTAAATAAAATTATTCAAAATCAACCTCCATACAATTTCAAGAAATATAAAAACACAGACATAAAACCTACAAACTAATAAAAATTTTAAATACTCATAAATAATACTAAATAAAAAATAACCAGGACAATAATTTGTGTGTGTGCAAATATGTACAAATTTTCTAGCTACAGGATTGAAGTAAAATAGACTTAAAGCATCTAAAGGAAATTGGAGTCAAAGCAAGGCAATGATTCAACAATATTAATAATTGCAAGTGTGCATAATAGGTTTACAGAGTAAAAGAATATAAACAGTTAATAATTAAATGCATGTATATGGAAAAAAGTGCTTTTCATATTAGAGAAAAAGGGGGGAAGATAACTAAACATGAATTCACGCTACTGCTGAATATGTTCAATGCAAACTAAAAAAAAAAAAAAAAAAAAAATGATTTGAAAAAGAAAATTGTATGTAAAATATATATCAGAATTTCAATACTAATGAATAAACTAACAATGAAGTAGTAGAATGTTTGGTAACATCAAAAAAATAAAATATTCATAATCAAATTACTCAATAAACTACAACACTCAGATACATTTTTTAGAAACATCTTAAAATCTATAATGCAAATTTTGATATAAATCTGATTCTTTTTGACAAGTGTTTTGTAATTAAATTTAAATGCATAAATTGAATTTCATGTAATATTATTCTTATATTCAGTTTATATTTATTTAAAGGAATAAAATTATAGTAAGTTCATATAAACTGATAAAAAGCTGATGATTGATATATATGAATATGCATCACATTACATATAAATAACAATTCATATGATAAAATAATCAAAACTTATAAAGACACATAGCTGCTAACATATATAAGATGTTTTTTGGTAAGAATAATTATTTGAAAATACTGAGAGACTAACCAACAAGAACAGAAACCTAAACGGTTATCAGCTTCTTAAAATAATGCCAGATACTTTTCTACTCTTACAAAAAAGTTGCATAGAATATTTTACAATTTCTATATTATATTTAATTCCTTTGTTATATTTTACAATTCCTACATTATATTTAAAATAATTACTTTTTACATCAAGCAATTAATTTCACAATAGTTGCCTTAAAAATTATAAAGAAGTTTTTTATTTTAACTTCAACATATTAGCATACTTTAAGCTTTTTCATTACGAGCTACTGCAAATTTTCAGTACCATATATTTTAATGCTAAAGAGACAATCCTGAACTAATTTATGATTCATGCACAGAATTACAGCAAATCACATTAGTCCACACTTTTTTTAAAAAAAGTAAACATTTTAAAATGCAAGACACTTTTCTCTTTTTTTAATTTTCTTTTATGAAAATAATATTAATGATGTTTTCATATTTTACTTTCAAAAGAACTAGAAGGCATTAGTAACACTAAGCTTACTGCAGACTTAAAAATATTTTATGCCGTTTTAATTCATAAATTCTTGATTATATTCTACGCCATTACATAATTTGCAATAATTCCCAAATAACCTATACTGATACCATGTTTTATGACATAGTTCTCTTACTCTTAATTCAGGACACTGAAAACCTGAAAACAAAATATACAACAAATCACCAAAACTAATGAAAATATGGATGTCCTTAAATTTTCACTTCTGTTACAACCATCTTCAGCACAATAACACTCCTCCCAATACACTCCATTTTCTTTGTAACCCCAATCACATCCCCAGTTTATTCCTCTTTCAGATATTTGAGCACAACGACGAACCACAGTACGCCAGCGCCCATCCCCTGAAAATAAAAGAATAGTTAAAATTATATATAGAAACAATAATGCCAAATAGGGATTTCTTTATGTCTATTATGCAAGCCATTCAAATATTTAAATGACCTGTGATCATGTGATGAAGCTCACGACAGTGAGGTGAATTAAACTTAATGAGATCTGAAAATGCTTAATGCAACTGTTAATAAGTTAAGAAATGCAGACTAGGTCTTTATATACACAAAATTACTGATCACTAAATGTATTTTTACACATCAGAAAGAACTGTATCAGGTTTTACTACTTTCATTTTACAAAGACAATTCCGTCTCATTAAAACAAGAAGATACTGCCAAGCCATACAAAATAAGATACAAGTAGCCCTCCCACAACATGGTATCCTGTAATACGGTTTTGCTATAACACGATTCATAAATTGTGAGAACCCTCCTACAGCATGGTTTTCTTATAACACGGTTTCTCTCTAACACGATAAGAAAATTACCCAAGCAATCCGAAGAAATTTAACGAACTTCGCACGATTTTCCATATTGAGCAAAGCACCCATATAGCAATTTAACACATAAGAATCCTTGTTTCGTAAGTTCTGCCAGTTGTCTTCCAAGATCCGGTACCCCTAAGAACAAATGTCCTCAGGGAGATGAGCCACGTGGGTGGAGAGCGACGGTTGAATTCTTAACAGGTAATGGACGAAAATCGTTTCCTTCCATGATATTCAGAGTCCAATAGCATAACAGAAACAATACCCAGTCTCAAGAAAGCTCAATCATCAGATAACAAAGAAAAAAACCTCACTATCACAGAAGGTGAACAACATGAGGTCACAATAAGTGCTCTAAAACGCACAACCTGTATGTTCGGCTTCCGAAATTTGAATCCTCATTTCTGCAGCCTGAAAACAAAAGTGTCTCACGCTACTGGTCGGCAGTCTGCATCTAGCCACGGTGTGTCAAAGAATAACATTTTCGTCTTTAAGACATTAAGTTTCAGTCCCAAAACATGTGCGATAAAGATAAAACAAGAAGGTTTAAGAGGAAATTCATTTCTTTAGAAGTAAAGATGGAAATTTTGGACTGCTTTTTAAAAGGAGAAAAGGTGTCTCACATTGGAAAAACTTTTAATTATAATGAAGCAACAGTTCAGACTATTAAGAAAAATGAAAAAGAAATAAGTAGCGCAGTTGCTGCAGGATCTTCGACATCTGCAAAACACGCAGTTCACCTCCGGGCTCCAATAATTGAGAAGATGGAGAAGGCATTTTAGCATTTGGATTGATGATAGCTGCCAAAAAAGAATTCCATTGGGTGTTAATATCATTAAACAAAAAACACTCAAAATTTTCAAGCACCTTAAAGAACACGAAGAATCCTCTATCAAACCAGATTTTGAGGAAAGTAAAGGTTGGTTCGAAAATTTCAAAAAGCTTCTTCCTATTTACAGCATAAGAATTCAAGAGAATCTGCATTGGCTGATTGTGAAGCTGCTAGAACGTTGATTACGAAGCTAGCTAAAGATTGGCTTTTAAATTGTTTTGTGCAAGACGCTTAACTTTATTTAAAGGAGAAAAATTTGAGCTTCAAGGCACTATTACTATTATATAATACTCCATGTCACCTACAAGATTTGAAACATTCCAGCGTCAAAATACTGTTCCTACCACCTAACACTACTTTGTTACTCAAACCCTTGGATTAAGATATTATTTATACCTTTAAAACATATTACATAAGAAGAGCATTACAGTGGATTTTAGATGTAACTGATTTAAAATCAATTAATCTTATGGAAGCTTGGAAGATATACAGAACAGCACTGTATCGAGATCGTACCTTTGTCTCTGAAAGAGCCGAAAGCATCAACATTAATGCATGTTAGAAGAAGATATGGCCCTCTTCATTTGAAATAGAAAACGTGTGTTAATCGTCAGAAAATGAAATTGGTTGCTTATTAGAACTTGCTAAATCAATTGAAGATGAAGGATTTGTCGACATGGCTAATGAGAACATTCAAGATTTATTAGCGAAAGAAGAAATTGACAAAGCAGATTTGATGGAAATGGCATCCGAAGCCATAAATCAAATCGATTCTGAGGACACTAGCACTAATGAAGATAGTGCAGTTAATAATTTAAAATTTTAAAAAATTAAAAGAAGGCCTAAGCTTAGTTGAAAACCCCAAATCATTTTTCTTGACTGCAGACCCTTCCGCTGAAATAAGCCGAAAATTCAAAAGGGAGTTGCAAAAACTGTCTAGCTCCATATCGAGAAATTTACATTGACCTGGTAAGAACTAGTAAGCAAAGTAAAATCAGATTTTTTAAAGAGGAGAAGAAAATGACAGAACTTTAAATGAAGAAAGAAATTCTGAAAGTGAAAGCGATCTCATTCTACCAAAAAAACATTCTCGGTTGATTATACTGAGCAGTAACAACTAGAAATTTATTAAACTAAAATTGCATTAAATTAAAATATGTAATATTTTTTGTTTTGTGTTGTACATACAATATATGTTTAATAAAAATTAATTTGTTTATGTAGAATTTAAAAAATATTTGTTTTTGATAAGTTTTCATAACGTAGCGCCCCTTTTTATACTGGCTCTGGGTCTCATACAACATGGTTTCACACAACATGATATTTTCTCGGAACCTATCTACCGTGTTATATGAGGGTTACTTGTACTTCATTTACTTTGATAATTAGAACAGTATAGTACTACACTTTTATTAAGCAATCATAAACTATTATTTACAACCTGCAAATGTACATCAGTACCTTTAATGTCAGGATAACTACAAAGTTGAATTGTTTATACTGTTCACTTAATGTAAATATTAGCAGCATTCAGAGATTTATAAAAATTGTAAGGCAATTTAATGCATGAAATAAAGATATTATCTCTGTATCTCATAGACAGGTACAGAATTTTTCTGAAATGAGCAAATGATGTCTAGATTTACAAAAATTTTCTGCCTAATTTTAAAATTCATTCTTTCCAGAAATTCATGAAATACAGCATCTATTGAAGGAACAGTAGGTAACCATAGAAGAAATCTAGGTTAAGCAATGAAAGTCATGCTAAATTGTGACAAAATCATAAGTTCAACATGCTTATGCTATCTTTCTTTATCACAACTACTTCTTTTGCAATTTATGACATCACCATTTCCCATTTTTATCATAAGGAAATATGGTCAACCTATATATCATCCAACTATCTAATTCCTCTCTGAAACTCTTTCGATAGAATCATAATTATGAAATAATTATTGCCAATAAAGCTCATCTTTAAAACTATACACATTTCTAAAACAGTCTCTGTGTTATCTAGCCTACTCTGTTACTCATAATAAAATACAAATTTTTCCATGCCCATTTTAAGGCCATTTTATGGTGCTGACAGATCACCTTCCAGTTCATTGTGCGGCGCGACGTTAACCCCCCCCCCCGCAGAGCAGCATGAAATTGATAAACACATTTCAGAATGGTTAGAGAAACAAAGGATATGCCTTTATCCCTTTTTTGCAGCAATTTCCACTTTTTGTTTGATGGACATTGGAACATGCTTTCGCTTTGTAGATCCTTCGGCAGCTCCAGAATCGGAAATTCTTTTTGACATAATCAAAAGTTCAAGCTTACTTTTATAAAATTGCTCTAATAGTCTGCAAAAAATAATAAGCCGGATCCAATTAGAAGATTCAGGAACAACGCAATCTGCAACATTAACTGAAATAGATAATTAGATAATTTTAGATTAGCTTATACCGTCCGTTATACATTAAACGCGTATGCGTAAACATATTACGCGCATGCGTAAATGTATTATGCACATGCATTACCGCATTATGTGTTGACACATGCGCAGAAAGTTTGTAGCTTTGAAGTCTGGATTATAGATCATTCCGGATTAAAGATTTTTGACTGTATTAACATTTGATAATTTTTATAATTCTGTACACATTATTATATATATATATATATAAATACTTCTTGAAGTATCACAGCAAAAAACAAGACATACCATTTACAGTAGAATACTGTGAACTTGACCTACCGTGGACTGACAGGATGCAGAGTTTTACAGAGGAATGGGTTATTCACAACTCATAATATTTTACCCAACATCTAAATCCAAACTAATTTTATTAATACTTTTCTGTTTCTCCAGTCTGTTAAGGCATTTAGTATCATTTCCTTTCTTAAGTTAATTTGTTTTTCTCCTTTTTTGACATTTTCTCTTGCATAGACAAAAAAGTGCAGCAATTGAAAGCCTATACATACACTAACAAACTCTACCTGGAATGATAATGTAATTGAATTAGGCAATACACAAAGACCAGCAGCCTAAGAGGACGGTTGTCTTTGTGGACAATTTTCTAATGCATACTGGCTTGTATTCATGTTACATGTACGGAAAACCATGAAAAACCAACCATGCAGCCAGCCCATCAGCCTGGTTTTGAACTCAGGACAGCGGTACCAGTATTCTGCAGTCTTTCACTGCTCGGCCACTGGTAAGGCTACCTACAGTGAACTGAAAGTTTAACTTACAACAGACCAGCCATAAACTGGATGACAACTAGCAACATAAAAGGAATGCAAGAGGTAATCAAGAGCAGAAACCTGACTTCACCCATTTTCTTACACAAAAGAGAAAAGGAGGAGATTGGAATTTCTATGAAAAGAAGGAAATCTGTCACCAAATTCATTATACAGATTTCTACAACAGATCTTAAATTACACAATTTTCTAGAAAAACAAAAACATAGCTCTTGCACCAGAATAACAAAATGGAAACTAATAATTTAGAAATTAAAATACTCATAATTATAGTTAAATATCAAAAAATTACACTACAGCAATTAAAAATATATGAATTATCTAACAATTTCAGTACATGTATTACATGTTTTTCTCAAAAGAACACTGAATTTTTTTTATCAAAATATACTAGCACATTATCATTGTACCAGCTCAAATACTTTGCAGAATAGTTAACAAATATA